GTCCTCCCAACATCTTTTTCAATCTCCCCTACCACGCCCCCTGGGCCTTCTTCCTCCGCCAGGAGATCCTGGAACACACCTGGCTCGCGCATCTCCAATGCCCCACTGCATTCAAGCCATACCTTCGCACGATACACCAACGGTATCCCACCTCTCACAAGCCGATCGAACTCCTTCCGCTCCTCCCGATTCGCCGAGAGCCCAAGCTGAGCGAAGCCAATCAATCCTTCACTGTGTGCAAGCTCCTCGTCCTCGCACGCCGTTCCAAGCCCGAGGATCGCCGCTGCGCCCCCCGCGGCAGAGAGCGACGCCGGCGCGAGGCCTGATGCATGAGGTTTGAGGAGTGGCTTGACTCTACTTCGTTGCCGTACAAATACGTCCCACTCGTGTCTTCGTGCCGTCTGTCGCGTGTCATGAATCGCTGTGAGCTGGTCAAGAAGCCGCCGCACGGTGTTGGCACATGCATGCCGCGGTGTATCGGCAGTGACGTGAAGGATAGATGTGGTGGACGAAGCCACGGCCTGCGACGATGAAGCCAGCGTCGACGAACGATTGCGGCTCTTGAGTGAGGACCCGGATTTGGTGCTGGCTGCAACTGACATCTCATCCACACTAGCAGCATCGTTCGAGGGGCCTGGGGGTGACTCGCCATCACATGGACAATATCCCTTCACGATGTCAATCACAGCTTTTCCTCCAGCGTCGTCCTCCTCCTCATCCGGCCAGCTATTATCTTCCTCCCGATCAGCAATCTTCACACCTGTAAGGCACGCCGGAGCCGTATTTCCGCACTCCTTTGCCCGTATGAGGAGGAGAACATCGTACTGCGACACGTCATACATGAAGCCATATCGATCCGTCAGCGGCCGTTGGCTTTTATCGTCATGATATACCTTGAACCTGGTAGCGTTCTGGGGAAGCGGGATCGAGAATGTAAACTCCCGCGAGGTGAGGGGAGTGTACGTGCGCGACAGGTATTGTGTTGGTGGTTTCGACATAGCAGGTATGATCGATTCCAGGGGTACTGATGCTGGTTTGCGTACAACGGATTGAGATGCATTAGGCTGCCCATTCTGAACGGCACTGGTCTGGCGGCTCTCGTTCGCGCCATTAACGGTTTTCTCCGGCTGCCCACTCGCTTTTCGCTGCTGCTGGGAAAGAAAAGATCCAAATATGGGTGACGTGAATGGCGTCGTCGCCTGCCTCAGCGACGCCGTTCTCGATTTGGTTCTCTTCATTCCATCGCCCTGGTGGCTTAGCGCACGGCTGAGGGTCATCGTCGCGTCTTCACCATCTGAGGGGCTGATGATTGGTGTTGGACCAGGTCTTCGAGATGAGTCGGCGGTTGACTCTACCGCCTTGGGCTCGCGGCGCTCCTTGGGGCGCTCGCGGAAGGTAACCCCCTCGTCACGAGCGTGCGAAATGAGGTCAAAGGCGAGCTTAGCAATGAGAGGAGTGGTATACTGCCCATGGTCGGCCAGAATACTAGCCGGTTCCATCGTCATCACACGCGTAGCATTGGCGATGGCACGAAGGGAAGAGCCTTGTACGAGCGTCCCGGGGTCTTCTGTATTTGAAGTGGCCAGGGTAGATCTGGAAGTCTGGGGTGCTTCACTAGACTCCAAAGATGTTGTGAGCTGAGGCGCAACAAGAGTAGGAGCAAACGTCGGTTGCATGGGTGATGACATGGCGGATGCTGCTGTCGATAACGCCGGCGGGGTCGTGCGTGTCGAGTGGATGGATTCTACATCCGAGCTCGTCGTGGTCGGGGGGTTGTTCACGGCATCCATTCCGGGTAAACGCTTCTTCGGTGGTGCAGGATTAAGCAAGGTGATTCCCAGCGTTCCAAGCACACTCTTTGCCGTCTTGTGGCGCGTGCGGCGTGGTGGCACCACAGTTTCGTTGTTTTCTTGCCCCTCAGACGCTGGGGGGTCTTTATCTGACTCCGTATGTGTACTTGAACGTCCATTTCGCGAGCGAGATTTGCTACGAACACCCCACCAGGTGCCCATCCATGAGGGTCGCTCACGATTTGGCGTCAGGGTGGGAATATCACGATTTTCAAAGCTGTCTATGGTGTCCGGTATCACGGTGTCCGGGACTGTAGGGGTATCTTCATCGTCGTAGGCCAAGGAGATGGTAGAAAGAGCCGGAGGATGGGTAGACTCGGAAGAAGACTCTAATTCTTCTGGCATGCTTGTAAGCACAGAGGCCTCTGGAATGCTAGCAGGCACGAATGAGGCATCGTCGGATAATGCCTCTGTGAGTGATTCCGTTAGGGACTGTGGAATTGTTAGAGGCCTGGTGTAAAATGTATTTCTGCGACTCACCATCAAACTCTGTTGGCGTCGAACTTGGTGGTGTGATTCATCTGCGTCTGTGAAGATTGACTGTATAACGCGCTTGGCGACGTCCTGCTCGGAATTTTGAAGTTCCTTGATCAGCACATCTGCCCTTTCGCGTCGTGCAATTTCTTTTTCCTGCAGCACCTTCTTCCTCTCCTCCAGCTCCATCCTGACGCGGGTTAAGTTGTGCAAAGCTGAGGACAGGACCCGGAGTGCCGTGTGATAGGGATGACGAAGAGACTCGCCAGATGATTTGGACGCACCAATGCTAGATATAGCACTTTGGATGGCGTCGTCCGAGCATTCGTGCCATTTGGTTGAAAGTACCTGTGAAGTCACGGCAGCGCCGTACATTTCGCCGTCCGAATCACTGGTTACAATGACATCGGGGTTTCCGAGGCCCAGAGAAGGCGGTGGAGATAAAAGAGAGTCTCGTGAAGATCCGACCACAAAGACAGGGGAGACGACGCCGTTTGGTTGACTCCACAAGCTCGACAAATTCTTTCGTCCGCTCCCATCCATCCTGTCCTTCGCCGTCTTCCCGTACCCCCGCACGCTTCCATCCCAGTTGGCTCCCACCGAGTTGTCAGCCTCATACTGAGCTCTCAGGGAATGATAATTGGTCGGCGATCGTTGTTGTGAACCTGACTCTGTCTGGGTCCGACTCCGTCGATTTCTTGATGGATTTTCCTCAGGAGAAAGTGGGTGAGAATGCACTGGGGTCTTTATCTGCGATGTCGCCATATATTATGGTTTAAAGTGAGCAGCAATATGCATAATCTTGTTCTCAAGAAAGAAGGGCTGGCCTCGTGGTGATGCTGGTGACTAAAGACGGAGTCAAACGATGAGCACGGAATAGTTAACCCTCCGGCTCGCTAAAAGGCACGTTCTGCGCTCTTTTAAACGCGTAGTTGACAACAACGAGCAGAAGGATTAGTGTGGTTGGTTGTGACGACGCCGAGCAACAGGACGTCGAGTAGTTGTTTGTCCTCGTTGTCGTCGCTGATCTCCTCTGTCTCTCATCTTCAAGCCTTCCTTATACAAGTTACGTTCTTTCTTCATCGAGAGAGCTCATCGTTGAACTTTGTAAGTAGTGGAGGACCCATCGACGGGCTCTGATTCAGATTACTCGAGGTACGGCTTATAGATGCCTTGTTTTTTTTGGCCGAGATTGATCTAACATGGCTCCAGCTCGGTATGAACCTCCAGCTGGAGTGACGTGCAATCACAGCTCACGACATTAACATAGTGGATATCGTGGTTTCTGTCTTCGAAAGGCAATGAATACTTCTGCGAGGTCGACGAGGACTTTATTCTTGATCGCTTCAATTTGACTGGTCTCAACAACGAAGTAACGAATTATCCTCAAGCTCTTGATCTCATTACAGACAATCTTGGTGACTGAATTCGTTTCGATGAAAGTCCTTTAGAAGCTCAGTGCGCCACACAGACGACGAAATCCAAGACGAACTGAGGGGCTCGCTCGATGTCCAAGCACGTCTGCTTTACGGTCTTATTCATGCCCGTTGGATTGTCACCGCCCGCGGGCTGACTAAAATGGTGTGTTCCTCTCTAAATATACCGCAAGACTCCGCTGGCTGGAACACGCTACAGCTCGAAAAGTACAAGCGTGCTGACTTTGGACGCTGCCCACGTGTATTCTGCCAATTACAACCTCTCCTGCCCGTGGGGCTCACCGATGTCCCCTATGAAAAGTCAGTCAAGCTCTATTGCGGGCGCTGCGAAGATCTCTACTCGCCCAAATCGACGCGGCATGGGTCCATCGACGGGGCGTACTTTGGCACGACATTCCCACACCTCCTCTTTCTCGTGTACCCAACGCTCATCCCACCAAAGAGCGGCCCGACGGACCTCGGGATGGCGCCGAAGGACGGGGATTCGAAGCGCAGGAGAGTAAGGGAAGAGCAGGATGTAAGCGTTGCGGAAGGTGTTGGGGAGGCGATTAGCACCGCCAGTGTTGCATTAAAGGCGGGGCGGTATAGGCCGAAGATTTATGGCTTCCAGCTGAACGAGACAGCAAGGCTTCAGCGGTGGCAGGAGGCGGTCAGGGACAGGTGATTCGGTGCTCATCCACTATGATTTTCTTCTAACCCACTTCCAGACAGGTTGCAAGGCTCGAGCAGCTTGAAGAACGGACGTAGGATTTTCGCGAGCATTGATGACCTTGTATATGACGACCTTCATTTATTTATTTGCTTCCCTTCAAATTTCAACCTTCGTTGATCCCACCCCGCAGCTTTCGACATCGCGCCAGATATCATTCCTGACTTTGTCATTGCGAAAAAAGACAATAAAAGATAGATCCGACCTGCCTGGCTCGAACAGGCGACATTGAGATATATTTGTGAACCAATTACAGTCTCACGCTCTTCCAAACTGAGCTAAGGTCGGTTGCTGCGACTGTGTAAAAGAGAAAACATATGACCGGCGTTAGTGACGATGGGAGGAGGCTGCGGCAGCATTGAGACCAATGAGGACCGGAACGCGTCAATGTTGATGTTATCAAAAGTCAGTAACATAGGTTGACTAGATTGCAACCATTCACACGACTGGAATGCCACGCGATGGAGACTGCTCGTATGAACGCGTTTCGGAAGGTCGACTGGGTTCTACATACTGACAGACGGACAAAAATCCGACCTGCCTGGCTCGAACAGGCGACATTGAGATATACCGGTTCACCAATTACAGTCTCACGCTCTTCCAAACTGAGCTAAGGTCGGGTGGTGGGTAATATACGACTAATATTGTGTGAAAGGTTCGCACTTCATACCTACAGGTGGACCTAACAGGCAATATTCCATTTAACCTTAAAGATTATCTACACACTTACACGAATGCGATGCGCATGAGTCGTCGACTTATCCCATCCTAAAGAAAGCTTTGATACGTGTTCTGATCCCTGCATTCTTGACGTTCAGATAATCCCCAGGGGTAACTTCCCCAGAAAGCCTTGTCTTTGAGTGGTCGGCTCCTCTGCTTTCCTTCGGAGACTGCTTAGACAGCCTCCTCAACTGACGCTTCAATGTCCCCCGTTTTCTATCTTCTCTTTCCTGCTTAAATCGTCTGGCAGCCATATGTGGGCTCTCCCGAGACTGCTCTGACAAAGATGTCCTGCCATATGAATGGTGCAATGACATAGGCCCACCCGTATCTGCCAAGCCAGAATGCGCGTCGAACTCCGGCAGCTGGCCAGTCTCAGGAGGAAACGATTGAGAGTTTACAGATGGTGGAACGTGGTCATCATGGATTGCATCTGAGTGAACATTGTTTCCACGCCTGTCTGGCTTATGAGGTTCCGAATATGTTACCGTTCGACGATGTGAATTCAGGTGGGCCTCGTGACGCTCGTGTTCAGGGTCGCCTGTTGGTAGCTTGTATGCCTACGTGTCGAGTTCAGGCTGAATAGTCAATGTAACGAGTTAGATTACCTGTTTCGAAACCGCTGCACAACTAATGTCAATAATGGAGAAGATGATGCACAATTGTGTCCCGTACCATCTTCGTCATCTTCTATGGCAGATTCGCGTTTCCGACCGCTTGCGAGAGATGCCCGTGCGCTCTCGCTACGCCATGAAGCAGTATTTCTTCGGTACTTGGGTGCACCTTCATGTATGGACCCAGGAGTATCTGGGCTTCCAGGGGTATGCTGGCGTCCATCTATGCCAGAGGCTACCATGGGAGCGTCGGGATGTACAGAATCCGCATACGACAATGTATGCTCGCTTCTAGCTCCAGATGATGCCCTGGGGGCCATCGCGGCGGCCGCTATGTTACCTACTGGCGTTGCATGACTGCCGCTTGCCACAGGAATGCTAAAAGTTGAACCAGTCGATGATTGGTTCGGATGCTTTGACTCGGAGCGATTTGAAGTTGTATACGCATTTACTGTTCACAAGAAATGGTTGGCTTCTCCTTGTCATTTGGGAAAAGCAATATTACTCACGATGTTCGGGCTCCCAATATCGTTGGACTTTGACCGAGGCCTTGGAATTACGTCTGCGCGGAGCAGAGTGAGTCGACTCATTAATGCCAGCGACCTGGACCTTTCTCTGGGACATCTCTCTGTTTGCGTATTGGAACCTGACGGTCGTATGAACAATGAAGCACTCACTGTTCCTTCCTATGATTATAGTTTAGGGCCTGCCGCGCCATCTCAAACTGTAGCTGCGCGGGATCTATTCTTGAGTTGAAAGCAGGCCCATAGGGGCTGTCGTATCGAAACGCCTCTCGAGGTATCTTTTCGTATCGACGAGTTTGGGGTGGGATTCCTGTACCCCAGTGGCGATGTGCCATAGTTAATTAATAGTGCGACTCCCTTGATAGGTATCAACTAATGCAGAGCTGCTTCGTCTAGTGCTTGACGGGCAGACAAAGAATT